CCCCGCCCTCAGTCTTTCTCCCAAACCCACCAATCTGTGCAGCTTCCGGAAGGGGCCTGCACCCGCCTCTCTCACTATCACCATTCAACAAATACTTAAGAAATATGTATCAAATGCCTTTTCCATGTCAGGCAAGGGGCCAGCCCCCAGCGACACAGCTGCCTGTGCAGCCCAGCCTGGAAGCCCAGCTCTGCCCAGCCATCGGCAGCTCTCCCTGCTCCCCCTCCCCTGGCCACCGTCACTCCCCACCATGATTCACCCAGGCTGTGTGCCAGGCCCGGGGTAGCCAGAGTGGGGCCATGAGTGATTTCTCCAGGGTGTTAAGCAAGCTACGTGGGGTCCACGGCCAGCTGGGACCCGTTTCCAGAAGGAAACGGCAGCAGTAGGTGTCTGGAAAAAAGGGTGTTGGGGGTCAGTGTGGTGGGTGCGGAGTTGGGTCAGGGTAGAAGAGAGCAGAGGTAGAGAACACAGGTTGGGGGGCGGGGCAGGGTCCCAGGATCCAGGTTGAGGGCCAGGGGGTCTAGGCTAGAAGTCACTGCAGAAGCCATTCTCAGAGGAGTGAATGAGGGGCCTAGACTCGGGGCCCCATCAGGGGCTGGGGTCCTACAGGCTGGATACGATCCCAGCCCTGCCCTGGCCTGGCCCTGAGCCCCGGGCCCCAGGCACCCTCAAACTGCCAAATGGGGATAATAATAGTACCTACTTCGAGGGAAGTTAGGAGGCGTCGCTGGGAGAATGCAAAGGGCTTGGCCCCATGCCCAGCACATAGTAAGTGCTCGAGAAATAGCAGCAAATGATCATGACTCAGAGGTCAAGGTGGGGTGGAACAGCCTGGGAAGTCATCCATCATGGGTCTCTGTCAACCAGAATCCTGGAGCCTGCCTCTGGAGGCCCTCCCTTGCTCAGACCCCCATCTGTGCTGCTCCTTCTGGGAAGTTCCCAGCCTGCCTGGAGAGGGCAGCTGGGAGGCAGACCCGGAGGCGGTCCCAGTGGCAGCAGGGCTCTGGCCTCCTGTCCTGGCCCTCACCCTGGCCCTCCCTGGGGATACCTACTTCAGTGGGAACCATAGTCTTGAGCCAAATAAGTTCTAAATTCGTAAAACAACGGAGTGATAAGGTCCGTGAATGACTCCCATTGTTCCAATTTTATTTGTACAGAAAAGATGAAAATAAAGTGAGCCCACAGGGTACTTTCCACTTGAGGCGGTGTAAGAAAAACTATTTTGGGACCCTGTTCACTTCCTGAATTCCCGGCAGGGCCATGGGGTCCCCATGTGCCCCTGTTCTAGACCACAGCAGGATGGTCTGCTAGCCTTCCACCGCGCCTACTTCCGGCCCCACCCAGGGCCTCACTTCCCCTTCCAAGCGTTGTGGATAAGGAGGTCCCTGGGACCATCCCTCTGTGGTCTGAGACCGCCCTCCTGAGGGCTGGTCTCCCCTAATGGGGACGACGAAGGAAGGAAGGATGGGGAGAAGAACAGGGGCACTCCCTGGGGCTGACAATCCTTAATTCACTTAATCATTCATTCATTCGAGCTCCTATACCACTCGGAATTCACAGCCTAGCCCGACACGAAATAGCACACACATGAGCAAGACAGATGTGGTTCTCCGCCAGCCCGCAGCAAGGAGTTTCCCTGCACAACGGATGCTCAGCTCGGATGGAGAGGATGGATCATCCCTAACAAGACCCTGTGCCTCAGTATCCCCACTGGCAAAGGGGATGATCACGGTACCTCCGTCATGGGCTGCAGTAAAGATGCAATAAATGAGAGGTACTGGTATTCTGATGGGCAGGCAGCGTGCCTGAGAGGGGCTGTAAGGCTGGGGGTGACGGCAGAAGGGGAAGAAGGGACTGATCTGGGGAGGGCTGACACCACGGAGAAAGCTTTTGAAGGGTGACAGTGTTTCAGGGGACATTGGAAGAGGTGGGGGAAACAGACATTCAGGCAGAGGAAAAAGCATAAGCAAGGGAATAGAACTGGACATTTGTGGCCTATCTGGACCATATCTCAGAGCTCGGCCAGGCTGAAACTTGGGATCTAGCTGGGTCATTCTGTGCAGACAGCCCAAACCAGGCCAAGGTCAAGGGACGGCTAGAGAAAGAGTGAGACAGGGTCAGAGGAGTGGAGGCTCCCAGGAAGGGAGGCGCCAGCCCTCCATCCCCCTGCCCTGCATCTCACTTATTTGAACTTATGCTCCTGCCTCATCCTATCCAACGTCCTCCTCTCCTCCCAGCTAAATTATGGCCCAGCAGCTCCCCAAGTCTACCTGACCAACAGTCTCCTCATTCAACTGTCATTTATTAAGCACCCACTGAATGCCTGGGTGCTGAAGCTGACATGTACCAGCACCCACTGTGACATGAGTAAGCTTTTGGTACAGCTTCAAAGTGGCCTCGCTGGAAGACTGACACCACAGAAACCTGCCATCAGTGTTCATCAAGGACCTTCTTCTCTCAGAGACTCGCTGCCAGCACACCACTGTCCCCTGGCCCCAGCAATGGACAAGGAAAGGCAGGCCTCTGCCTACACGGACTCACAGACAGCAAAGGAAGACAACAGCGGTGCAGACCCCTGATCTAGTAGTGAGGCAGGCTGCGTCGTCTCCAAGGAGGCAGGGGTGAACCAGGAGACTTATTCTGAAAGAGGGGGCATGAATGCTCACTAGAAACAGAACCAAGCAGTTCAAACAGCAATACTACGCATCATTCCCATTTTAGAGGCAAGGAAACTAAGGCCCAGAGGCCAAGTTCACTAGTCCCCAGTTGCCCAGTAAGAAGCGACAGAGTTGAGATTTGAACCTGGACCACTGGATCTGAAATCCGTGCTTTTAACTGCTGCACCTGACCGTCCCACAGTGCAGTTACTGTCATCCTCCCTCTGCCCCTAAGCAGCCAGCACAGGGCTAGGCAAGATCATGGACACCCAAGAATATTTGCTGCTCAACTAGAGTCCATTCTCCTGGGGCTAAGGTCTCCACCTGGCTGCCCACGACAGTGCCCCTCACAGGAGGTCACTGTGTTTGCTGGTCTCAATGTCTGGAGAACCTTCTAGAAGGGAGCCCTGGTCCCCCGTGCAGGGCTAGAGCCGGCTAGCAGAAGGGCTGCAGCACAGAGAACAAAGAGGCTTTGGCCTTGGGGAACACAGCAGGGTCTGCTGGATGCCATGGCTAAGGTGCCCGTGGGGACAAACAGGCTGTCAATGCAGACCACCCCGCCCCAACCACTGCCCACTGCTCCTTTCTTCTCCCAGAATAACGTGAGGACCTGGACATGTAACTCCCCCAGCTCTTGGCTTTCCCCAGTCACCTCCAGCCCCACATGAGCCTCATAACACTGGGATGAGGTGAGCCAGTGAAGGGAGCCTGGCCCACCAGGTGACATCAGTGTTCTAGGTAATCATCCTGACACAGCAGACAGAGATTTCCCGACTATTTCTCAGGTGCCGGGCACCCTAAACCCGTCATCTCATCCAGACCTCTCCGCGACCCTGTGGCAGACTCTCCCCATTTGACAGATATGGAAACTGAGCCTCAGAAAGCAGACTTGCTCGTGGTGGTGCAGCCACCACAGTAAGAGGGATCCCAGATGTGGGTCAGGCAGCCCTGACCGCAACAGGGGCACAGGGCAGACTCCAGAGGGGGTGCCCAGCCAGATGGCAGCACTCCCAGCCCCAGCCGGTCCCCACCATCCTCAGGAGCTAGTACCAGCTCCCTGGGAGGGCCCGAAGTCTCACCCCCCACCTGGGTCTCCTTCCTGGCCCTGCTTGACCCGAAGCCCCCTCCAGCCCCTTCCAACTCTCCACACATACCAGGCACTCACAGCTCAGAGCCTGCTTCTGCCATTCCCTCTACCTCAAGTGCCCTTCCCTCCTCTCCTGAGCAAGCCAACTCTTCCAGCAAGTTCTCTCTCCTCCTTGGGCTCGCAGCACCTCTTTCAAACTTTCAGAGGACCCTGTGCCTCTCTCCTTAGCCCTCGGAGACACCCCTGCCTGGGTCTTTAGTCACTGCTCTGGGAGATGGGGCACCGGGATCCCACAACTCCCCATCCGCAGCTCTGGATGGGGGTCCCAGGAGCCAGGAGGAGTACCATCGGAATGGGGGCAGTGCCAGTGCTGGGGGGCCACGGAGGGATCTCTCTAGGGTAGTATTCCTGCCGACATCCCTTCTAGGGAGTCTTCCAGAGCTGGGAGAGTCACCTGACCTCAGGCCACCAGGGCTGGCCGAGACCCATCTCTGATTCTCTGCTTCTCATTGCACCCTGGCTCTGGCACCGCCATTCCCACTTACACCCAAGCGCGCTCCCCTCCCCACCCCCGGTTCCAGAACTCACTATTTGCAGATATTTATAGCGCCCTCCCCCAGCCAGGTTCCCTCCCCCGCCCTGGGCAGTGCCGTGCAAAGAGCGGGAGCCCCCCCCCCCGCCCGACAAAAGAACCGGGGGTGCTCTCCCCACTCAGCCTGGTCGCCACGAGCAGCCAGTCCCAGCCCCCGCACCCGCCCTGCTCCGGGACCGCGCCTCGGCCTCAGCCGCCGCAGCCCAGGGTCTGGGGGTGGGGGAGGCGGACGCTGAGGCCTCCCGCCCCCAGCCCCGTGTGGCGCGGGAGGTTTGGGGGGGGGGGCACGGCGCACAAAGCGCTGCTCGAGCCCGGCGCCTCTGGGACGCCCCCCGCCCAGGCCGGGGGAGGGGATCAGAGAGATGAGGCTTTGCCCTCCGGGGCCGGGGAAAGCTCCGCGAAGCAGCCGGGTTGGGGGAGGGGGAGCCGGAGCCTAGTAGCCTGCCCGGCATCCCGCCCCCTATCTCGGGCCCCCCCTCCAGCCCCCCGGCCCGTTGCTCCCGCCCCCGCCCCTAGGGTCACGCTCAGGGAGGGGGCCGTGGGAGCCGTGACTGGGGGGTGCCGCGAGCGCGGAGGCGGCGGCGCGGAGATGGAGGCGGGGGGCCGGGAGTGCGGGGATGGCGGGGCTGCGGCGCGGGTCCCCAGGACGCCAGGGTCAACTCACCCATCGCCCGCTGGGTCTCAGCAGCGGCGGCAGCAGCGGCGGCGGCGGCTCCGCGGCCCCCGGGGCCCCCGGCGGGGAGATGCTGGCGTCCGCCGCAGCCTCTCGCCCCATCCCGGGCTCCGGCGGCGGCTGCGGCGGGCGCCCGGCATCGCGGGCGTCGCGGCCCCAGCCCAGCCCCGATCCCCGCCCCCCGCCCCCACCTCCACCCTGTCCCGCGGGCCCGGCGCGGCCGCCTGGCTGCACCCCGGGGCCGCGGCTGGGGGCCGGCGAGCGGACGGGCGCGGGGGAGGGCCCCCCGGGAGGAGCGCGGGTAGGGGGTGCGGAGGCGAGGCCCGAGCGCGGCGCGCAGAGGTGCCCGCTCCCGCCCGGCTCGGCGGCTCCGGCCCCCGCCCCGCCCCCACCGGAGCCCCCTCCCCTCCGCCTCCGGCCGCGCTCCGCTCGCCTCGCCGGGCTGGGCCGGGGCGCCTCGGGCCGCAGTCTCCCGCCGCCGCCGCCGCTCTGCGCCTCCCGCGCGTGCGATCAAGTGTGTGTGTATGTGTGTGTGTGTGTGTGTGTGTGTGCGTGTGTGTGCGCGCGCGCCCCTGCCTGTGACCGTGCGTGCGCCGGCCCACGGCCCGGTGCGTCCTGGGCGGTTGTGTGTGCGATGGGAGGCGGGGCGGGTCAGAGAGCGTGTCTGTCTCGTGTGCGCACGGGTCTGCGTGTCCGGTTCTGTGCGTGCGCGGATGTGTGCGTCTGTGTTTTGCAGTGTGCATATGGGACTGGGTGACCTACAGTTCCCGGGAGTGCCTGGGCGTGCACATCTGCGTTACGGTGTGCGCGTGGATCCGTGGCCCTTCCTCCGTGGACCTGGACCGTGATTGTGTGCACAGATCTGTGACCGTGCGGAGGGGCCTCTAGAGCCCGTGTGCGGGCATGACTCCGGGGAGCTCTGCTTATGTGTACACCATCTCGGATGGGCTGCAGAGGCCTGCTCTTCCGTTGTGGTGCGTGCACAGCGTTAGGCCTTAGACCGAGTCTACACAGGTCTGTGTGTCTGCCTGGGTGGCCCATGTATACCGACCAGGGGTCCACGGGCCTTTGTCTGCCTGTATCCTTCCGACCCTCTCCTGGACTGGTCCCTGTACACGTATGCCGGAGCCACGGAGCGAGCGCTGTCCCCAGGCCCGGCTCCGTGACTCTACCCCTGGGGCTCCTGGGCGTAGGCCTCCCTTCCCCCACACAATTAAGCAGGCACTCAAGGCCCCAAGGTCCACGCCCTGCCTACCTCTTGAGCCTCCTCTCCTGCCATCGGGCCACCAGCGGCTCTCCGAGTGCCCACCACTGTATACCCTGGCTCTTCATGGTCCTGCTTTGGGCTCGAGGTGGCCTTCACGTGCTTCCCGCCCTTCTGGCAGTTCCTTCCGCACCGGGACTCCTGGGTGAGGCAGTCGCTTCCGCCCCGTGCGCGGGGTACCCTGGGTATACAGCGAGCACGGCTCTAAACTACAGACGAAGGTGCGTGGGAAGGGCAGAAAACACCTCAAGGCTAGGTCCCCGCAGATGACCTCAACGGGGGAGGGGGAGGTGTCCCATTGGCCTTTGCTAGGCCTTTGGAGCTGCCTCTGGCTGGGCTTCTAGCTCCAGATGTCCCCTGCCCACCTTCATCTATCTTTGAAAAGCAGTTAGTGACCCTTCTCCAACGTTGATCTGAGCTGGTCACTCTCCCCCCTGACTCCTCAGTAGCTCCCACTTGCCCTCAGCTTAAGCTCAGTGACTACGCAGAGCAGGAGGCCCTGGTGGCTTGGCTCTGTCTCTTCTCCAGCCTCATCCACACCCCTCCTGTCCATGGAGACTCCCTCTAAGCCAAGAGTAGGCAAATTATTTTGCGTAAGGGCCAGCTAGTCAGTATTTTAGGCTTTGCTGCCTGTACGGTTTACGTCTCAACTACTCAATTCTGCCACTGTAGTATAAAATCAGCCACAGACAATATGCGAAGGAATGAGCATGGCTGTGTTCCGATAAAACTTTATTTATGGACACTAAAGTGTGAATTTTATGTAATTTTCCTGTGCGTGGAACCTTCTTCTTCTTTTTTTTTTACCTAATCATCTGAAAATGTAAAAATCATTCCCAGCTGGCATCACTCTAAGCACATCCCTGAACCCTCTGTAACATCCTTATGACTCACTGGCTTCAGGTATCCTGTCATTCCCTGCAAATCCCACCTATTCTACCCCAAAATGTCAGCATGCTCTTCCTTACCTGCTCCTCCAGCTGACTCTCTGCCCTTCTCTAACCACTATAGAAAAGGTTCCCAGGGGAACCTTCACTATAGCTCACACAGGCTCACCTCCGGTCTCTCCTGGCTCCCCCTGTGCCTCTGCCTGGGGACTCCTGTCATCTGGAAAGGGCCATCTCAGAGACAGAGACATTTTCCTTGCCCCTGACTTCCCGGGGAGAATCAGCTCTTCCTCCCCTGGCCGCTCCTGCAGCAACCTGGGCATCCCTTGGCCCATGAGAGAGGCACTGTTTCAGGTCTGGCTTGCTCTGGGCATCTTGGAAACCTCAAAGCTGGCCCATTAGCGCCACACTGGGAATGAAGTATCATATCCTTTTACATTCACAGCTCCCATCCAGGAGTGCCCAAGGTAACAAGACTGGGAGGCTCCAGAGCCTGGACTCAAACCCGGGTTTGCGGGACTCTCTCATTCACTGTCCACGCTGGGGTGCTCACAGGGAGCAGCCAATAACATTAATCTCTCACCAAGTGTGTACTCTTTCTCCCCATGACAAGCTCTGGCTCCCAAACTAGGAGCCAAGAAGGTCCAGACAAGGCCTGAGCCACAAATACGCCTTTTCATCCCTTGAAATTTTTTTAACTGAGTTGGGTGGACAGACAATAGCTGCACACAGCACAAATTTGAAAATTATTGAAAGACATCCAGTGGGAAGGAAGCTCCCAGCCCCAGCCCTTGCCACCCACTTTCCTTCATGATATTTTTTTTGTGGGGAGGGGGAAGCAGTTCATTTGATGTGAAGCCATTTTGTTGTGACCTCAAAACCAATTCATTACATTTATAGCTTGTCCCCCTTTTGGTTTTTTTAAAAATAAGGTGTGAAACCAATTTTTCTCCTATCCTTGAGCCTCCAGGCCCTGCAAGGTAAGGATCCATGGGGAGGGTCCCACTGTTCGGGAGTGGGGGGTGGGGGACTGGGTTAAGGAACTGGAGAGATCTGGCTTGGGTCTGGGTCTTCACACAAGTGACTCTCCTCTCAGTTTAAACATCTATGAAATGGGGATAAGGAAGCCTCCCTCCTCAAGCGCCTGAAATGGATCCTTGTACATAAGATTCCCGCCTCAGGGCCTGCCACTGTCTTAGCTGGCACAGTGACTGCCAAGCCACAGTCGCCTGAGCACCCTTAACCGGGTCTAGGAGAGACACCCAATAAATATTTGCTGGGAAAAAAAATGATTAATGCCATCAGTGTGCGTATTACCTGCCATTAAAAAAGGTAATGATTGGGGCTCCTGGGTGGCTCAGTGGGTTAAAGACTCTACCTTCGGCTCAGGTCATGATCTCAGGGTCCTGGGATCGAGCCCCACATTGGGCTCTCTGCTCAACAGGGAGCCTGCTTCCTCCTCTCTCTCTCTGCCTGCCTCTCTGCCTACTTGTCATCTCTGTCTCTCAAATAAATAAATAAAATCTTTAAAAAAAAAAAAAAAGGTAATGATTGTTCGTTCTGACCCACTGTGCTCCATCCTCCCCCCACCGCTCCGTCTTTGTTCTCCTGACCTTTCTAGATTCCAGGCTTCTGGTGAGGTCACAAGGGAGTCAGCCTTGGTGGGGCCATACCAAAGTCAGCCTCCACCTGGCCTGCCGGACACACTCTGGCAGTCTCAAATAGTGGTGGGGGCTGTGTGTGGCCAGCCTTCCATCCCAGCCCCACAGAGATAACTAGTGACTTGTGTAATCACACACAGCGGCCGCAGGCAGAGCCGGTGCACCAGGCCCCACCTCTCTACCCTCCCAACACGGGGAGCCCACGTCTGAGAGAGCTGGCCAGGAGGGGAGACAAGCCTCGGTTTCTTCTCCCGCATTTAAAGGTCTGGGGACACAGTGGTGCTCAAGCTGGTGGAGAAGCTGAACACTGGTGTGACTGACTACCCCAGCTCCCCTGGGTGTCCCGGTCACTTCAAAGCCCTAAGCCTCGGTTTCCTCCTCTGTAAAATGGGAATAATCGCCGCCCAACATCACACGGGTATCAGTGAAATCTGGACCTTTCCAACCTCTCCCTCCTGATTCACTTGTCCTACCTCTAAGCCATCAAGAGGATGCTGGGGAGGGCGGGGGTGAGGGGGCTTGGTAGGTGGCCTTCCTTCCCCACCCAGTCCTCTAGGGCCTTACCAGGAAGCTATGCAAACTGGGAAGCTGAAAGCAGCCCAGCCCAGATACAAGATTAGCCAGCCCAAGGCGGTGTCACCTTACAGCTCGGGCAGCCCTCGTTCACCTGGAGCCGATTTGGCTCTGTGAACAATTGCTAGGTCTGTTATCCCTTCCCGAAGCAGCTGCCTGGCTCTTGGGAGCCACATTCCTCCCTCCCTGGGTCATCTCCCTCCTGGCCCTGGGTCCCCGAGGTGAGGAGTCCCTGACCCCTGCCCAGGGCCAAGCTCCAGCCCTGCCAAGGCTCCTGGCAGGCGGGGAGCACGGCGGTGCCGCAGGCGTTGTGAACTGGCTCCAAGCCTTTGGCGTCTTCATCTGCAGAATGGGCTCGAGGATGGCCGGAGCGCAGATGGGCCCCAGCAGGGCTAGTCAATAAAGGAGGTTCCCTTCCTTCTGCCAGACGAAGTCACCAGAGGGAGGGCAGCCTTGTCCTGCCCTCCCCCACCTGCACTCCCTCCATTCATTCAGGAATGAGCCTTTCTCAGAAGCACAGCAAAGGTAGCCCTCGGAAACGCTGCTTCTACAACCTTTCTCAGCCCCGCATCCCGGCACATCTTAGTCTTTCTGGCAAATCGTCTACTCACTCTTCAAGACCCAACCCAGGTGTGCCCTTCCCCCAGAGACCACTGTGACTTCTGGTTCCCAGAGGGCTTGCTCATGCCTCACTGGGAGAGTTCCCATGTCAAGGCCTTTGCTGCTGCTGGACTGTACCTGCACGCAGTGCCCTTCGCAGCCCGCCAGCCC